TACAATTGTTCAAAACTAGCTGAAAAACTAACGTAGATTCTCACACACAGAACAACACACACACACACACACACACACACACACACACCATTTCAGTTAATTTCATTAATTTCATTAATTTCAGAAAAAGAAGTTAAGATTGTTCCTATAAATATAAAAAGTGAAATGTAGTTTAACTAATTCTCTGGAATGTAGATTCGAGATAAAATCTAATGATAAAATAATTTACACTTCAACTGATACAAGCAATGTCAAATAGCAGTTTCTAGCAAATAGAAAAACGACGGAGAAATTAGTTGCACAACACGAAATTGCCGTTGCATTCGCCATATTAGTCGTCTAGTTCGACATGTTTGATGCATTTTCCAGTGTAATGTTTGAATCTCAGATTCAACCAATCAAACAATTATTTTGTAAAAAAAAATAGAAAAAATTTCTATAAAACATTAAGTATAGAAAAGGGTTATATTTTCTTTTAAATTTAAGAATTTATAAATTTAAAAATTTCTCGAAACATTATTTATGTATAAATTACAGATATATAAAAATAAAGTTTCAAAACTGAAATAAGAAAGTCTTATTCGAAAATCATACATGGTGAAATAGCTATTTTGATTTTAACCCCGTTTAACCTCTGTACAAATATATTTGCACAATAATAGTATGAATTAAAATATTTTGCGTCGAAAAGACTTTTCAAATGCTTATTTATGTAGTTCTTTTCGACTATATTATTGTGCTTTGAATAAATAAATATTTGCGTAATGTTTAAAACTACTATTCACGGGTCAAGTGTAAACGTCATTATTTAAGTAAACATATTATGTATTATTTTACATCTAATTTACTTTTCTGCATGACTAAGTTTAGTTGAATTACGGATTGTATAATTATATTTATAAACTTTATAAGTATGTATGTAAGTGGATAAGATTATTTCAAATATTATTTATAATATAATAAAAGAAAATTTATAACTTTATTCATTATTGCGGTATAAAAAGAGCCGTGCATAAACAAACAATAAGCATATTGCCTTTTAAATTCTCTTTAAAAATCTGACGACTTAAAGTATTTAAATAACATCCTGTCGTTCGCCAGTCATCGAGATACTTTATTTTTGACGTAACACATTTTTATTATTATTATTATTATTATTATTATTATTATTATTATTTTATTATAAAATATTTGGCACTGACTTTGACTCTCCTCAAGTTTCACAATTTCTACGTTTTAATTTACGATTTAGAACGGTTAAAACAGGCTACTGGATGTGCACCTTCACACGTGACAAATATATATATAAAAGAGCTAATTTGGAATTCAAATATTCGAGCATGACGAGAATGCTTTGTGTTACTCGCGCGACTCTGATTTGTGTTCTCGCGGTATCAACCTTGCAACCGCGGGTAACTTTCAGGATCACTTATGCTGTCTTACCAGTCAAGTCGACCAACGTAACAACGTGTCATTGATTTCCTGCTACGCTTTCTTCCCGTTGGCCATTTCACCGTCGGTATATATATATATATATATATGCCACTATACGAAAGTTCACGTGCAATCGAGCAAATGGGTGTTCACGACATTTATGCATGCAATCGCGTGCGTGCGTGAGAGAAACACGAGCATCCGTCGTCTGCGTGTAGTACGGCTAGACGCACTTCTATCGAGTACCTCGTCGCTGACAATGAGACGAACCTGTGACCCTCTGCATAGATACAATCTGTGCGTTTATTTCAGAATTGCGTTGTGCCATTTCTTCCGAGGAAGAATACGCATATTTGTATAAAATAATTCACTAGCTCGAAATTCAATAACATTTGATTATATATATATTGAAACTCTTGTCGATCGTCTAGCTTAATCATATCAAAGACGGGAAAATATATAATAAAAACATCTGCAAAATACGTTAAAAAATATAAATACTTTTAATAAAACGATATTTACGTGCAACAGAACGCTAAATTTGTAAAAATATACTGAAGATTCTTCTTTTGTTTTAATCAATGAGCAATTAGATCTATATGGTTAAATGTTAAAATTTATGCTTGGAATATGAAAATATAAAGCAACTTCCATCTTTATTATTAAAAATGAAAAATGACAAATGATAAATCTTTTCACTGAAAAAAAGGAACACATTTAATTATTAATTTTTTCATTGGTCGCATTGTTCATTATCTGTAATTCAATATAGAAAAAAATCGTTTGTTTGCTTTGAATTCATAGGTGCAAAATTGTACGTGTGAGTAAAAATAGTACACTTATTTCTAAATTTAATATGCGTTTTCCGCGATGTATTTTCCGCTGTATGTCAGAGCATTGTACCACTTCGGCACAAATTCTTTATGAAAGTAAAAGCAACCGATTACGCATGCCAACTTCATGCACTAAGTAACAATTAGTACAAACATAAGTGTGAAATGTGAAATCATAGTTAAACTAACGAAGCGAAGTAGCTTGGACAGCAGAGGTCAATGATGACAAAAATAAGATAGAACGTATAATAAAAGGCGATTTGTCTTTTCAATTTTACTTTGATTAATTGATATATATATATATATATATATATATATAATTTACACTATAAATACGCGCGATAAATCGGGGAATTCTTTATGAAGGGAAAATAAAACAAGATTTTATTGCTTTCTTATCTTCTATCTGTGTTTGGAGTCAACTCAATCAGAAAGAAAAGAAAGTAAGAATTATGATCTGATACTTTGTTTTAATCACGCTACAAAGTGCGCGGAATAAGCGACGTAACAATAATTATCGATTTAAAAAACTAAGGTGCTCGCTCATAAGCTCTGAATTTACTGTGTACTTTACTGTGTAATAATAATAAGCAGCAGATGAAAAAGGAAAATCTCAGCGATACACCACGATAGTCCATTACATCAGTGATCATATCGGTGCGTGTTACTTCCGTTAGTTACGCGTATCCATCACCGCCAATCGCGCTTCTGATAAGCATGTAATTTATGCAAAAAACGTGTGAACGATATATCTTGCCATCGATAAAAGAATCAATTTATTCTTGAAAAAAAAAGAAAACGGTTGAATGACGATCTTGTGTAACAATAGCTTTTTCCTTTCAATTTATCTCGTTCTCGGAGAAGTCAGTTTGTAAGAGTGATACGTACAATACGAGAGAACTGCGAGAATGTAGAGGCACTCGTGTAATGTTTTTTTATGTCGTTTTTGATACTTTCACTAGCAGCTGCACAAAAAGATATTTACATTCTCCGTTACAAAAAAACGCTGTCTTCGAATAACTATGATGATATTGTTTTAGTTGGTTTTCCAATGAAGTTGAAGTTAGAACTGTTAAGCTGATAATAAAACTATTAACACGCTTGCTACTTAGTCTATCTTTGCTGACTTTCCATTTTACATAAATTGTATTAAATTAAGAAGAATACGAAATTAAATATGATAATAAAATGTTAATTATGTTATTTTAATACAAATGACATTCTTTAATTATTTCACTACGTGTTGTGTTGATCTTTTCACTTTTATTAAATGACTATCATAAATGCGGTCATTGTTTTAAAAATATAAATATTTACGCACATTAATAATCAATAATATTGATCAATGATGACTAGCTACGATTGAGGCAATAAACAGAAATTCGATATCGATGACTGTCAATAAATATCAAATTTTATAAAAGATCATCTTTTGTCTTTGACAAATTTTTTTCTAATTTAATTCGTTTAATTTCAGTAAAATGGATTATTTTCTAATTGATATTCATACACTAAATTAATACTTAAACAAATTAATATAATAAAAGTACATGTGTGTGTGTGTGTGTGTGTGTGTGTGTGTGTGTGTGTGTATATATATACACTAAGAGAGAGAAGTTGCTACCTGGTAGTAAATTTCCTTCGTTTTGTTTTTAGAAAGAAAGTTTAAAACAAACATTACACAAACATCTTTATACTATCGTTGATAAACATTAATAAACCTTTTCTCCGAATATGTTAATTTACAGCTGCAAATACGAAATTTTTTGTCAATGCCTAAAGATTTTGCAGTGAGCGCGGCTAGAAGAAGTGAAATCATTATCGTAATCATGAAGCTCGTTAAATCTATATCAAATAAAATCGGGAAAACTATTTTCATTTCTCCTCTCTCTTAATGATGCGCAAGTAGCGGCGCTCGCGAAATTGTAGCGGGGAACCGAGAGTCTCTCTTTACGCGAAACGCGACACTTTCATTCAGGAAATAACTCCAAGTAGTAGTTAACGTCAGCAATGGCAAAAACTAACGCACCGATTTTACGGAATTCAAGTTAACAACACCGTTAAATTATTTTACACACCTCATAAAAAAGATGTGTTTATATTTTGACAAAAAAAAAGTGATGAATTTATGTTATGGCAAAGCTTACCTTTTGAATTTAATTTGCGAAATTCTAGTAATAGGACTCACTGTTTCATCCTAGGATAGTCCTCGAACGTTCATTCACGCGAAATCGCGCGATTTTCGCGCGAGTCTCGCTGGCTTTTTTCTCTTCCTTCTTATAAAATCGCGACGCACAGAGAAATCGGGAGACGCGACACAACGCGATTTTTAAATTAGCAAAATTTAATTTTGGATTCGCGAGTAAAAAAGTTTCACGGAGGAAGGGAATTTCTCTTGATTTTAAAAAGAAAATTGAGACGTCACCGACTTCTACACTGGCCGATACTTGAGAGAGAGGCACGATTGCCGATCCTCCTACAAGACGACTTTCAATTTCACAGTGATCGATCTCACGTGATCCAATGTTGCCAAAGAACTGGACGTGGATCGTGATCGCGATCGTCTCGAATATACCCGGAGTTTACTTTCCACCTTGGGGATCGAACAAGTGCAAGAAGTGGGATACTAAACATTAGAATAACGCTGTGGCAAATACGGCGTTGGTGGGGTGGCTCGAATGACTAAGGTAACCCCACCGTGTCTTTCACCGGTTCAAGTCTTTCTCTCCTCTCTCCTCCATGAACCAATGACAGCTGCCATTACGTCATTCGAGACTTGAGAAAATTATATAATACATCTCATATGGTCACCTCTTCCATCTTCGACGCACCCCTCTACATAGCACAGTTGCTTTTGCGCTACAACCCCCACCCTTCCATAGATAAAGCAGTGATTATGTCCTTCTATCTCTTTCTTCTTCTATTTTTTTTTAATCGAGAAATAAAATATTCTCATTTATAAAAGTCAGAAGATTTATATTATTAAATTATCTGGTATTATAAAGTTTTTAATTAGATTTTTTTCGTGATTCAGTTAAAAATTTATTAATATCTCTAAAATTAATGTTAATTAGAAATATTTAATTATTTATCTGCCTGCGTGAAAAATTCTTTAGCCATAAAAGTCAAATTTTAATTTTTGTTAGCTTTTACTCTTAAATAAGTGTCATAATTGTCAAGTGCAGTTAAACATGCTCTTGTGTCTTGAATTTTTTATGACAATTGTATATTATGTTAAAAAATATATAATTTCTTGATATTTTTATTTTTATTTTAGTGAGACATAATCTTACCTCCAAACAATACGAAGAATTCGAAAATTATTTAGATAAAAAATTATAAGTTTGTAAAATAAAACCGAAAGCTTGACTTTTTTACATTCCTGTCAAGAAATTTTCGAAATGCTGCCAAGTTTCATCAATCGGCACATCATAACATATTGCTGCATCACGAAGTGCCATCATCTTATCATCGGACTCACGGAGATTGAAATGCAATATTAGATAATGTATTTAGATTAAATATCCTTATAATATCGATATCAAACTAAGGAAAGTGAAAAAAGCCATTTCCGGAATATTATACAACAGAAAATTTGCGGTTTGCATTTCTCTTAATCATAGGTAGCACATCCGAGAGAAAGATCTAATCATAGCCCTGCGTATGAGTATGCAACTATGTTGTGCCACTTAAGCTTGCATATGTGAACACAATTGAATAGTATAATTGCAACCGGTGATTTAATTTTTTTTTTTACATTAGCATTACATATTGTCGCAGCATATAATTTTCTTTTTGTCCACTCTAAGATTTGTCAGATATTCGTTATCGACAACAAATAAGAAACACACGTATCTTATGCTATAATTAAGATTAATTTGAAATTTTCTTAAAAATGCAATATTTAATCAAATTTTTATTTCGACTTATTTAATTGTAATTTTAATAAATTATTTAATTCATTGTTTCATTAATTTAATCAATACAACCGACCTGTATCTTTAATTATAATATTAATAATTACAGCATTAATTAATAATAACAACATAGAAAATTAGAATGTTGCTTAAATTATTGTTATCTGAGAATATTTGCAGAAAATTGTTGAATAATGCACAGTTTACAACTATAATTATAAAGTAGTACACACTAAAGAACATATTATCACGTTAGTGTTTATATATGAATAGATGCAGAGAGCTTTTAACTATTTCCGGGATAAATTAGCTTCAGAGATTGGAAAGTGGAAAGATTTCTATCATTAAGTTGTGCATATTGCATCTGTGATCTCTTTGATCTCAATTTACATTTATGATTCAGTGCGATTAACATGATATTCGTGATATTAACATGATATCGTTTATACTTTAGGAAAAACAAAATCTCAAAAATTTCACTATCACTTAAATTGTAAACAATAATTTAATTTATACTATTTAATAATATAATGTATTATAACTTAAATATAATATAATACTTAAGCATAATATAATAATGTATTATATCTATTTTAAGGATTAATTATTGTACAGTAATATTGCATTTCAATGTTATATTATAAAAAAATATCAAAAGCTTTGCGAAATTATATTTTTCTTTTTCTGCCAAATTATCTCGAAAAAAATTTGAAAAGTTTGTTCTTATGAATTTCATGAAAAATAAGCATATCTGCAAATGCAAATGGTAATGCAAGTTTATAATTCTTGTGGATAAAAATAGCATAATATATAGCACACACAATAAAGTAAAAAATTACATGTAAGTACTTTACTTACTCAACGATCTGCAACCTTGATCGATTAAAAAGTTTCAGAGAACGATATTTTTTTCGCAATATTTTTAAATAAAAAAGAAATTTGCTGATTTTGAACTACACTTACGTTAAACATAGAAATAAAGAAATAATTTCTCTAATAATCAATTACTAAATTGATACGTTGAAACGTTATATATGTAATCTGGTGAATGCTACCATGATTCGCTTATATTTTCCGAGAACAAGAATCCCCGCTGCAAGACCTTCAATGCGATACCGCCGCGCTGGAGAAAGGGTAGGATAAAGAATCAGGCGAGTGTGCTATTAAGGCCAGGAGAGAAATCGCGAGTGTATCGTAAAAGATCACATAAGAAAAGCACATAAGAAAAAAAGAAAAGAAGTTACCGATTAAGCGACGGTCTCCAACGCCGGGAGAACAGATCCTCAAGGTCGTTTGCGCGCAGCATTGAGGATTATATCATCGCACCATTACACGATGTCGAGTCGTCATTCAATCCGCAATATGCTTTTGTAGCGACGGTCATCGGGAGGTAAACGATCTTCAGTAATAGATTTAATGATCCGCGACATAATCGCGCCGACTTCGTTATCGAGAGCCGACTGTTACCAGCGAATTGGGTTAATAAACGGCCTGAACTTTGTCAGCAATTCACAGCGTTCGCGAGTTATAATTTTATTTAACCTGGAACAAGAATGATTTATGTTATTAAATTTACATTATAGTGCGACACTAGTTTACAGATCTAATATTAGAAAGTGATCCTATCTATCATATTCGCGATGTCTCTTGAAAATATAATTGTCACAATGTATTTAGGAAATTTAGGAAATTCATCAAGTTTTGCAAATTACCAAATTTCTTGAACTTATATGTTAAACGTTTGTTAAACATTTGAAATAACCAAATCGAAATCGGATAGAAAATGATAAATATAATGAAAACAAATTAGCCAAGGAAAAATAAATTTGATAAATGACTTTCGCGAAAAGTAATTATTTTTAAAATATGTAACCGATTTATAATTCTTGGAAAAAAAGATAATATCACGAATAAAGGGAGATGAAAAATAATTTCTGCTGAATGAAAAGAAGTCTGTAATTTATGATATAAGGAGAGCTATCACTTTCATTCATCATGATGGTTAGGTTAATTAACTTTAGCAATTAAGCTCTGTTTATTAATCTTGAAAATAAAAAAAGGTCTCTTTAACATTGTAACACGCGCTGACTTTTTGAATTGAGCAATCGCATATTGGCACACTTGGCACACGTTGACTTGTTAGTAATATTTTAATTTTAAGAAATATGATATTAATGGTATGTGCCATCAATGGAAATTAAGCACCGAAAAATTTCGCATACACCCATGAAAATGAAAACACCGGAAATTATCAATACTGTTAAATCAGCATAATCAACATTGGCTGATACTTAAGTATCGGACAACGCACAACGTTACGTACGGTTATTTGTTTAACAAGCAAATTTTTACCGTACCATCTTAAATTACATCAATAATGATATATTAAAGCTATCGATACAAAACACTTCTTTCCTGCAATATTAATATAGCTAAGAAAGGTAATGACTCAGTTGACTTATTTTTAAATTTCTATGCGTAACGTAAAAATCATACATATGTCTCTCTTTGATAAAATCATAACTAAATCATAACTAAAAAGCATAAATTGATAATTAAAAGGAAGTTTGTTATGCGAAAAATATATGAAATACTTTACTTCTTTTCTTTGTATAAAAATAAATCGCTTAATTCTTATACATCTATAAATACATCTATAAATTCTTAATCTTAATTTTTTATCTTTTTATATTAAAATAAACTAATGGTACTCACTTTACGGTAATTTCAAATATTTTTCTCAAAAAATTTAGGACAGAAAATATTTTACATTTTATATAGCACTTTCTTTTGCCTTGTAAAATGTAATAAATTTTATTACATCAAAAAATGCAAAATTTCGAACAAAATTTAAAAAGAAGCAAAACGATTCTGAAAATAAAATTTTACTTATTAAATTCGCGTACATATAAAATAAATCTAGTTAATCATATATAAATCTGATATGTAATTAAGTTCTAATTTTTTATAAATTATAACATCGATGTCGTAAAATGTCATATGAAACAAGTAGTGCTTTCTATAGAGAGGAAGTCATGCGCGACGTTGGATTTTAAACTCATTTTCGTCTGTTCGACATTATCCATGAAAAGCGAATACATGAATAAATGTCTTTCGTGTTTGTACAGCAATTGAGCATTCTGCATTAATTCAAGATCGGCTGCTTAGTCATCATGTTTCGATTCTACAATAAATTGCGAAATCGGTCGTGTCTAATTGAGAAATGCAGAGTGTGTCTGCGTGAAAACTCACAAAATTGCACGCTTGCAAACGAGTTCACGAAGCAATACCGCGATTTTACTTTTACCGCACTCTTTTACGCTCTTTTACGCCAGCCAAGCGACGAATGCGGGTCAGCCAGCGAAGACGAGAAGCTATTCGATAAAATCGGTTCGTTTTTGCGAGTTATATAGTTATACCTAATTATAAAATGTTAATGACAATGTCGGACAATGTGCCTCTTTTTTTTGCCAAACCAAAAGCCTAAAGGTCATTTCGAAACTCTTGCATCATCACAATATTCTGCAGTGACTTGTTCGGCAAATAATTATGGGGATATGATAATAAATACGTAAGGAATGACGTGTTTTTGTAAATTATAACACATAATCGGAGATTTAACAATTTCAATGATAACAATTTATGTAAATATAAATTATATGATTTTTATCGTTACACAAGCGTGCGCGATTAGGTGATGATAAGGAAAATTTCAAATCATTTCATATTTTACAAAGAATTTGTTTCTTCTTTCCTCAACTATAGAAGAAAAATATATTTATATCTTTACGCAGTTTTTATACGATACATATGTAAATATGTAATATTCATTTATTATTTTACGAATTAAAAATGCGAGAGAATGAAAAGTAAATTTACATCGTCTACGGTAAGTGGGTCAAAAACGTTAAAAACCAGTATGGTACAACATAAAAATACAAAAGGTCTAAATAATGTTTATTGTCTAAATAATTCTCAATATGTCACTCAACTATGAAGATAATGATAAATATATAAATATATTTCCCTTTTTTCTTCTCATTTTCTTTTCTTCGTCTCGATTAATCAATGACACATTAAAATTATTATACCGGGACTTTCGATTAATTTACATCAATATGTCTTAACAGTATTAAGATTTATATTATTAATTAATTTAAGCTATAATTTAGTCTTAGAATAAAATGAATTTATAAATGCCACAGTTCAGATTCGCATATCTTCCCCTATACCTATTCGCGTACAAAATTTTCCCTTATAGGAAACATAAAAGATGAAGAAATCGGGAGGGCGTGACAAAGAATCTTATTACGAGAGATAAATTAAACGCATAATTGACGAGTACCGATTACGATCGTCCGATGTGACGTCGATTGCGACGTCTTTGAACGATCAGCCACCGTAAACAAGCCGCGAACGAGGACGTCGGGAAATCAAGGGGTAGGGACACAATCGACATCGGATTCTGATGATCGCCTGGTTCTTGGACCGACGATCAGATTGGCCAAGATCGCCGCTTACCGATCGCAGAAAATCCCACCGTCATCGGTTGTTCAAGCAAGTCGAGCATGTGCGAGCAAGTGTGCGAGTGAGCGAACGAACGAATGAGGCGGATAAATGTCTGGCTTTCTCTGCATACTCGCCTTCGGTATTTGAAACGAGTGTTGCAATTTCGTTGTTGTCGTCGTCGTCGTGTTGTCGTCATTTATGTAGAATCGGCTGGAAAAAGCGCGGCGCTAGTTACGCTTTAACTCTTTATAATAAGAAGGTAGACAAGTAGATAGAGAGAGAAAGAGAGACAAATTTGATACAAGGGCTACAGTTTCAGCCGAATAAAAATATATTTATTTGTTAATTTATTATTAATATAATAATTTTAGTTTTAATATAAAATGTAATAAGTGTTTTCTTCTTCTTTTTTATTATTAATAATATGCGTCTGTGATTGGTTAATTACATTGATTAAAATTACTAGAAAAACTCGGAAATAAAATAAGAATGTATTATGAATGTATTAAAATGCAGTATATAAAAAATTACGCAAACGTTTACACTTAAAAAATAGTACTATATAGATTAATATCAAAAGACTAAAGAAATTATTTTCATGCGATATTTCATTGTTAAAAATTTTTACAGAAATCGAGGTAAGCCTAAAAAACAAATGTCTGCCTAAAAAAACAACCTAACGAAATGTGACTTATTTTAAAAACTAGGTCGAATCATTAGCATTTTAATCATTTACCAGATCATAAAGAAGAAAAAATAAATGCATCTTAACTATAATAAATTAACACACAAAACTCTATTGCGGAATATTATTAATTCATGAATTAACGTACAACAAAGAAAGCGTTACGACAACAGCAACTTTGAATGCATAATATCCTACTGAATATGGATCATGCCTACAAACGTATTCAAAATAGTACGGATAATTGGATCAACTAACATTACATTTAAAATTTTTGCAAGCTACAGAATATTTTTATATATATATTTTATATTAAAAAATATGATTTTATATATATATATATATATATATATATATATATATATAAATAGAAGTATATATAAAATAAATAAATAAAAATTATTTATTTATTTATTTATTTATTTCATATTTCATATTATATACAAGTTCAATTTCTCGCTTACATGCAACAGTATAACGATAATTGCTTCGACCATTATCACTAAACGATTTGGACTTTTCACTTAAGATTATGTCGTTAGAGTAGTTTAACCTGAGTGTATTTTGCGATAAACACATCTACAAAAAGTAAGTATCCAAGTAAAGTATCCATCGCGTTATTTAATAATATTACTGCTTATAATTCTGTAAACGAATTTTCACTCATAAATGATCAACAACTTGTTTCGTAGAAATGCTCTGTTTTACAATGACATCAACAGTCCAATAAAATTTTCCTTTTATTGAAACCTCGCAATCGTACAAGCGATTATAATCAGTTCTGTTCTATTCGGCATCGCCTAATTAATTTGATTTCACGACGTCGTAAACACACGTCTAGCACTATTGCTGCAACTGGAAAGGTCCTCGGTGGATTTCACATTGAGTAGGTTTACCTCAGTAAATAAATGAAAATGTCAAAAAGTCACGGTTTATACTTACACGCGACAAGCTTATCTCATGCGATTTATGAGAATCGCATAGAATCATAAAGGTGCGACGATACGTATCACGTGTCCAACGAAGAAATACCTTCGTTTTTGCGTTGCGCACTATCGAAACGAAACGCCTCCGTGAACAATATATCATTCATATGAATATTTATCGATCGTATGTCACATTTTCCGCGGTTGCACTGTGTTAACAAAATGCAACTAGATGCAATGAGATACTATTAGTGATCTTATTGCATTACTGGTTGCATTGCACTGGTATTAAACCGATGTAATTGTAAAATTTCTGAAAATTTCCAATATCGTTCAATTTACTAGATCAGTGTTCTTTAATTTTCAAACAAAAATAATATATTCGCGTATCATATATATATATATATATATATATATATATA